CTTGTAGCCCCTTTAGGTACTGGAAGGTACTAGAAGGTCTCCCCAGAGCCTTCTTTGTTGGGAAATCTTCTGTGTAACTCCTGCTGCTCCCGTTATCCAGCTCCCGTCAGCTGCACGCTTCGCACACCAGGGTGACACTGTACTGACCGCTCCGTTTCCCTCACCTCTTGAGGTGCTTCATGGTCAGAGACCCTCACAGCACCATGGAGCAGCAGCTGTGCCCCTCCTGCCTGTACCACCCCTGGCAAGAGACCTCGTGCTGTCCCCTGTGCTCTCACAAAGCCAAAACCCAGGTTTTAGCAGGACAACTGTGAGCAGAGCCCTGGTGACACAGGAGGACGCTGCTGTCCCCTTCATTTTACGGTTGTTCCCCAAGCTCTCCTTTCTCTTGCAGTTTGTGCTGAAGCACAAAGAGTTTGCTCATCTCCGGGAGGTGAAGGTGTTTCCCAACGCCCTCAACCCACACAAGGAGGAGTCACGGGCACTGGTCAAAGCCATGATTGACCAGGTCATGGCACTGCATGAAGACCTGAAGTGGTTTCACATCGGATGTGATGAGGTAGGACTTCACTTGAGCCAGGAATTTTTTTCTTGTAAGGAATGATGATAAGGGCTGAGGCTTCTGCATTTCTGTGGTGCCCAGGACACATTTGGATAGAATTTTGGGGACAGAAACCACCAACTCAAGCCAGTGTAGAAAACTCTTTTTGATGATAAATTATTCCAGTAGCACAGGATGTCATTTCTGTTGGTCTGAGTGTAATATCAAAAGTATTGAAAGCAGTTTCTTAAAGCTAACTCAGCATTTGGATGTAGGTCAAATGAGCATTTAAAGTCAGATATCAGTTGGAGGTATTCATTGAGAATCAGGTGAGTTTGGCTTCTTGTTCTGGCCATCTTATTCAAAGGAAGCCCTTTTGTGGTGGGAGGTGTTGGGTTTCTTTATCTCAGTAGTTTGTCTCCTCGAGGAGAACCTTGAGTTTTCTCCTTTCTCAGAGTTTCTTAAAACCATCCCTGTGGCACACACATCCCTGAAATTCAGTGTGATCACCTTAACTGTACTGAACTGGTTTAGCATTTTGTATCTTGTTGTGTGGGAACTAATGGCATGGTCAGATAGGGACCTGCAAGCTTTTATAAAGCAAAATACTGTTTATGCAGAATAAACATGTTTTAGATAAATCCTGCTCTAAAACAGCAAAGAGTTGAGATGCATATCCAGCCTAACAGGCCCAAATCCACTCTCTGCATAGGACCAAGTATGCTGGGGCCACTCCTGGACATGCCCCCAAGTCACTTCGAAATTCACTTACAGATTATTTTCTTCCCCAAAACAGGAACCTCATTTTACATAAATCAAGATTTTATGGGTTGCTAGATTTGGACTGCGTAAATCTGGTGAGAGCTACTTCCAAGGACAAACATTCCAAAAACAAATACTGCATGCATTAATTATTCTTTAAATATTTTAGTTTCTATAGGAATATTCCCTTATGTGATGTATTTAGCCATGGCCACAGCTTCCTGCAGACTGATAGAAATGCTTGCAGTGTCTTCAACACTGAGAGGTGCTTCCAAGTATGTCCACTCAGTGTGTCAAATCCGTGCAATAGGCTTTGAATGTTGTAGGATTTCATGACACTGCGTCAAATGCGTTCCCCCTGTTCCTGTACAAGAAGTCAGGATTGTTTGCTTGATGTTTCAGGTCTACTACCTCGGCGAAGGAGAGGAGTCAAAGCAGTGGCTGCAGCAGCAAGACAACACTCCAGAGAAGCTGTGCTTGTCCCACATAAAAGCAGTTGCAAGTTGTGTGGCCTCGTCTTACCCCACTGTGATGCCCATTGTGTGGGATGATATGCTCAGAGGGATAAGCGAGGAAACATTGGCAGGTGTGTGCTCAATGATGGGGTGAGTCATATTTTGTAGCATACAAAACAGTTCAGACAACCAGTTAAAACAGATTTGTTGGCAGATGAAAACAATGAAAACAAGAAATCTGAGAATAATTGAGATATGATCCATTAGAGAGTAGAGACGTTTAGTCCTTGGCTCTGTCACAGACTTTCTGTGTGACTGTGGGCAAGTCTTAACACGTGCATCCATTAGTTTTCCATCTGGTAATACACAGCCATAAACAAAACACTCATCATGCAGTGGTTGCCATCAATTCTACTTTCTTTACACATTAAGAAAGCCACAAAAAACTATTAGCATTTGTGGTTTCAGCTGAAATGTCTTTCACCACTTTCCAGGGTTAGTTTTTGCTCTGCGCAGCATGTGGTTCCAGTGGTGCAGGTTCACATGGAGAAGCTGTGACCCTGTGAGAGTACTTGAACCACCCAGTACAGGTGATCAGTGCCCATCTTGAGGATCTCCAGTACTGAATTGTAGGATAGCTCAGTGACAGTGACCTTGATGTCACAAGTCTTGTTTTGTTGAAAAATATGAGACTACTGCTAAAATTTGAGTAGTCCTGGTGTAGACAGAGTTCCAGCATTTTCAGAGCCACCTTACATGTCTGCTCTAAGCAGATTTAGAGAATACCATGAAGAGCTGTGCAGCTTCTCCAGCAGTGACTGACCTATTCATGGCTTTAATAGTGGGAAATCATCCCAAAAAATGCAGATGGGGCCCATGCAGTTTCTGCAAGAGCAGCACAGCATTTAGCTAACTGCACTCTACTGCCACAGGCAGTAACAGGCTAAACAAATTAAAATGAGATGCAGTTAAAATATTGAATTTCTGTACAATTTACTGCAGTTTCTCTAGAGGTCGGTTTCTCGTGTTTAAAACTAGTCAGGGAGTTGGGATTTGAAGCTAAACCTATATCTTTATTTGTACTTTAAAGGTATCTTGAAAAGTTAAATTCTGTGCAAACACAGCTTACACAATCACAAATTTAAAGGGTGAATATTTCCTTTGCATTTAACTGAAATCTTGCATGTACAGTTTGCAGCTCCACCAGTTCATCCCAGCGGGTATGCCGATAGATTCAAGGGACCGAGAATGAAATGGGCTTGGGATGAATAGGATCTCTGATGAGTTGTCACTGCTGATCCATATTGGTGGTTTCAAGATGTGTGAGGACTTAGTGGCCCCTGGCATGTGAACCTGTGTGTTCAAAGCCCTGGCCAGGCTGACAGTACACGTGGGCACTTCCACTGTACATGCAGAATTCTAGTGACAAGCCATAGTTCTGTGTTACTGTACCAGTAATAGGTACTTAGTTCTCACTTTTAACTCGCTGTTTTCTGTTACTTAGAAGAACTCTGTTCCTTTCAGAGTCTGGGGTCCCACAGCTTGTGCAGCCCATGATCTGGGACTACGCAGCAGACCTCGATGTGGAGGGCAAAGGTTTGTACTTCTTTGCTGAGCCGCTTAGAAGCTGAACAGGTAACAGAGCTCTTTGCAAAATAGCCAAAACAAAGTGGTTTTTTTTAAAACGTACCTTAGTTGGACACCAAAAAATTCCATTTCTGTTAAATTGCTTTTTATCCCTTTAGTAGCATAAACATAGTCCTTGTTTGATTTCACATAATAGTTGCTATTATTTATTTTCTTCTTTTATTTATGCTTTTCCTATGAAGGACTTGCATCGTCTGCTGCTTAATTCTTTTCAGCAGGGCTGTGGAATCACTGATGGGAGATTGAGAGGTTTTTCACAGGCGCTGTTACGTTAACTCTCCTTGCATTAAAACCAGTGGGAGCAGATAGCTCCATGTTGGACAACTCTGCAAAAGCAGCTTCAAGGCTTCATACACCTATAGAATTCAAAGGAAAAACTCTTAAAGGCTCAATCAGGCATCTAACGTGCGTACAAATATTTCTTTGTTGAAAGAAGGATTAGTTGCCAGATGTTGCACATGCTCATAACATACCCATGGTTCTTAGCATTGAAGCAATGTAGCAGTTCAAGGGAATGGAACATAGTAGCTGGACACATGAAAATAGAAGGGCAGCCAAACACTGATGAAACAGGTTGCTCAGAGGGGATGTCAAATCACCCATCCTTGGTGTTGCTCAAAACTTGATGGGACAAGGCTCAGCAGCGTGTTGTACCTGGACCAGTGTTGCTGTTAATTGGAGCGTTACAGCTGAAAACGGAGAAAAACTTGTCCTGTAAGTGTTCTTCTGTGTCTTATTTCAGTGCACCTGATAGAGAAGTATCGTAGATGTGGCTTCTCCAAGGTGTGGTTTGCTAGTGCTTTTAAAGGAGCTACGGGAGTCAATCAGTCTCTCACGCTTATTGGACACCATTTAAAAAACCATCTTCAGTGGCTGAAAGTGGCAAGCAAGAGCCCCGCTGATGTCCTCGAAGGTATCGCGCTGACTGGCTGGCAGAGGTAAGGAACATCGTCTTAAATGGTTCTGAGGATCACGTGGAAGCAAACTTCCACCAAAAAACTCCCCAAGAGGTACAAGGAGGCTGGGGATTTATAAGGGAGTTTTGCAACCTTGCAGTCCTTCCTGTTGGCTATTGCTGAGCCTCACCCACTGACTACAACGGTGGATTTTAGAATTCCAGTCAACTGCTAAGGCGTTAATCAGCAGAAGCAATTGTTTTGGCAGACACCAGCAATAGCAGATTGGATTTGTAGGCTTGAATGTACTTTCTGCCACCTTGACCTGCTTATAGACAGCATAGTTAACATAATGCGTGGTGAGTCTCTGAATGTCTAACGTGAATTCAAATAGAATGAAGTAGCATAAGAGAGAAGAGTTTGTTAATGTAATGAAGCAGGAAAAGGTTTTTATGCAAGAGTCAGGAGGTCTAAGGGAATACCAGAGAGCTGAATTCCAATTTCCAACCCTAATTTGGCTTGAGAAAGTAATGTGGTTTGTATCTGCTCTCCTTAGTAAAACAGGAACACTCAGCATTTCAGAGATAAAGGTCCCTTCTCTGAGTCAGAACCTTAAGGTATCTAGAGCTCTTTGATTTGTAGTGATTGAAACATTAACATTTCCCTCTGGCTTAGTATGTTCTGACACTGAAATGTCTAATTAATGACTATTTTCTTGTTTAGATATGATCACTTCTCTGTTTTGTGTGAGCTTCTCCCTGTGGCAATTCCATCACTGGCTGTGTGTCTGCAGGCACTAAAGAATGGTACAGTGACAACTTTATTCTCTCTCAGCTAATACGTAGCACAAGAGTGAGGTGACCTTGCCCCAAGGCTGGCACAGGCTTGTTATGTTTTGAGGTGGTTTGACTGTCTGATTGTGGTCTGAATGATGAGCAATAGATTATACATCTTGCGTGTTTGTGATACAGGAGCAGAGAAGCCTCTTGGCCTAAGTATTTAAAAAAAAGTATTTATATAAGTGTGTATATAGATATATATAAAAAAGTCGTAGTATACTAATAATTTATTATATTCTAACTCACAAACAGTCACAAGCTTCTTCATGCATGTACAAAAAAAAATTTAAGAAGCTGAATTGCTTTTGAAACTGATTTGAAACACTACTGGTATATAAATGATACTGATTTCATTTAGATTTAGATCTTGTTTACATGTAAAGTTGTTCTTAACTAATCGATTTTCTTAAACCAGTTGCCAGTAGAATTTTATTTTTGTCTTTCTGCGTTTCTTATTTTCAAAATAAAAAACCCACAACCTACTTGTTTTTAACTAAGGCACTAAAAAGACTCCACACCCTGAATGGAAAGCTCATAGCTAGGAAGTGCTTTACAAGACAATTGTGTCAAAGACAACCTACTCCACCTCCGAGTTTTTTCTCATGTTCTAGTTCCCTTTTACTTTTTAAAAAAGTCTTCATCCAAGGAGAACTATTAAGCCAATGCAGGGTACTCCAGAAAAACCCTCTTTAAGAACATTTTGGTTATTTAGGCTCCTTTTACTTATTTCCACTGTCTTTTGCCAGGTGGCTATTCTGAAAAGATTAAAGAAAATGTGGAAAAGCTCCTGGGAATGTCCAACCTGGAAACTGAAACTTTCATGAGGTAAAATTCCAGCTGTGGGATTCAGATGTTTCTCATTGCATGGTAAGCTCAGAAACTAACAGCTCCTCTTTGGACAGCGCAAGTCTGGGGACCTTTCCTGGGAGCAATATTCTTACACTTGTGACACAAGTTAGTTTCTACCTCAAGTCGTCAGTGGATGAACTTCTCGAAAAGAACAGGTAATAAGGTTTATGTTGGTTCTCTGGCTGCCTGCAGGGGTGTGGGGGCTGTGCCATCTCCAAATGGGGCATAACTCCAGCAAAGTGATTTAAACACCAAGCTCTACGTTTCGGGCATCACATCCCTATATATTGACACCTCAGCAGAATGTAATACTTGGCTGCAAATTTCAAGTATTTCAGCAGAATTCCTAAACACTGTGTGCTGCTTTATTTCAAGAAACAAGTTCTTTCCTGAATTAAATCTTGCTGTTATTTAAAATAAAAATGAATTTTTTAATGGTATGGTTACCAAAAGAAGCACCTTGAAATGGAACTTAAATTGCAACAGATGATCAGTTATTCTCATCTGCCAGGAACAGTCTTTTACAAGCTAGTTCCAAAGATAAATTTACTTACTCCTTAAGCATTATCTCCATTTGTGCAGGAGGAGTTCAGCTAAAGCCCTATCACCTCCCTGTCGGCCTACAAACACCTATGTCACTGCTGTTTCAAGAACTGCTCATACTAACATTCATTTTCAGATATGTCACAGGCTGGTTCAGCCCCTACCACAGAAAAAGGAAGATTATTCATCCCATAATAATGCATCACTTTCAGCCAGATGCAGTAAGGTAACACGACTTATTTTGCATTTTAGGGGAAATAAAGTCTGTCCTATTTTGGGCACTCAAGCGCATGTAGTTTTGAGTCCTCGCCTCTTTCTGTAATTATTTCAGAAGCATCACTGGAAATCAAATAATATGAAGTATTCATAATTTGGTTTTAAACAGAAGAACTCATTTGTCTTTGCCTTCTGTTGAACAAATTCTTTGAAAACAAGTACAAAATTGGTCTCTGCAACTCTCCCTTCTATAGTTACTCCTAATAGACGTGCTGCATCTTAACAGCAGTTGCCAGCCCCAGCGTAGGAGCTCGCCATGGGCCAGGTTCCAGGCAGGGCTTGGAATAAAACCAGACCTTTTTCCCCGGCTCCCTGTCACTGTGCTTTTCAGAACTTGTCCTAAAGTTGATGCTGATTCATGCTAAATGGCTAATTTACACATTTTTTGTTGTGATAAGGTGAATATCCAACTGCATCTACTCTTCCCGATGAAAACCAGAATTAAATTCCCAACGAGGCTCACAGTGGGTTTCAGTTACACTTAAAATGCAAAGCCTAGTGGTTTTTTGAGCTCACATTTCGGTACTTTAAAAGCAATCGCATAAGAAAAGTGCCAAGATTAATGGTACTTAAACACAAACAGCACCAACCTTTTGCCATCTGCACAAAAATCAGGTCCTTTGAGCTCCTGGAATGGAGCTTCTTTTCCTGTAAAGTCCTTTTAAGGACTGTACTCCTTTTAAAAGGCCCTCCCTTGAGGCAGAGCTCAGCTGCAAATGTGATTGTTTCTTCCTTCTGATTTCTGCTTAGTCTTCTCTCCAAGTGGAACGCTGTGGTGCAAGACCTCCAAGCAGCCATGGAGAAAGTTTTCCACCAGTGTACTGTGGAGGAGTGGATGGAGGAGAACGTCCACCCCAGCCTACAGAGGCTGCAGCAAGTGGTGGATGATTTAGATAAAGCAATAAAAGCACAGAATTAGGGGCATTTCAACGCGTTTGTCTTACTGCACGGGAAAACGTGGCTACTGGAAATCTGCAACTAGTCATACAGAACAGTTTGTCATCTTAAGAGCTGAGGCAAGAACTGTGATTAAACAAAAGTGACCTGAAGGCATAAAGGAATTTACTGGTGTAATACACTTCAACTCTATTTTCATTTTCCTGTCTTAACACATTGTTGAGCCTTAAGTCACCTGCCCCGTAAGTCAGATTCGCTTCCCTTGCATAACAGAACGCAAGAGTGAGTCAGAACTCAGCTGTATTTCAAGGCAGGAGAAAAACCTAGTTTCTTAAAAATTCAGTATTTGTAGTAATAGACTTTCTTAACGTTACAATGACCTGGAAAAATTCCACAAGTTCTGCTCTAGTCAGTAGCCAGCATGTCCTCCCTTTGCAATTTCCATAAAAAGACAGATTTAGGATACTTCAGACATGCTCCAGGTCCTTATGGTCTGTACTGTGACTCATTCCTCTTTCAGGTATTCTCAGAGATGTGTCCTACCATTCAACAATGACAAGTCCTTCCACAGCACAGAGCAGTTGATTTGTTCAATTTTGTTTTGGACTTTGTCAGTCTTTGAAATACATAAACCATTGGTCCTAAAATCCAGCTTTGATTAGCTTGAGATCAAGAAATTAACATCCAGCTTTTCACAGAAGTGGGAGGAAGGAACTGCTGTCTAGATGCTCACTAGGTTGCAGCAGATGCACCAAAGAACACATACCATGACAGCACAGAGCAAGAGGGAGCTGAGAAAAGGGCTTGTTGCCAACAGTGAGGGTGACAATTGGACTTTGAGGAGAAAACTGCCTTAACACACAGGGCTTCTTCATATTTTCGAGTCTACTGAATATGAGGGGAAAAGTGCTAATTTATTTGCCTCTACTGTTGAACTTTAATAATGTATAGCAATATATTTTGTGGACTTAACTGGAGCATTAAGCTTTAATCACAAGGGAAGATAATTCAAAAGTCTGGTAGTTAAGTACACTACCTTGAATATTCAAAATATTCTTGACTTGTTTGCTTCATTTATTGCTTTCTTGAAAGTCTTATTTTAGAAGCACAGGTATTGAAATTTTCTAAGAACAGTCTATTATAAAATGAATATAGGTCTAGATATGGAAAGTACAAAAAGTACAGCATAAGTCACATTTTTAACTTATTCAGTGAGAGCTGCAGGAGTTAGGTCTGCATGCGGATTTTTATCTAAAGGAATCAATCACTATGTATAACTTAATTACAAAAGTCACATACCTTGAACTAAACAAGGTCTTGATTTATTTTACTTCAATAAATCCTTTGATACTCAAAATATTTGTGGAAGCTTTTTTATTTTTTGCATGTGGCCTGTTGGTTTGGTTTAAAGGGGGAAAAATGCAAATACATTCACCATGGAGAGTTGGTTGTATCAGCTTGTATGAAATTGAAAGCTGGACTGCTGCAAAAGAGCGAAAGCAGGGTCAGTAATGAGCTAGGTATTTGGGCTTCCTCTGCTCTTTCCCCTCCCCATTACCTCCTGCAGTAGGTCTGTGCCAAGGTGTAATTTAGACTGCCATCAATATTTTAATACATTTTAATTAAAACCAATAAAAAAAGACTACAGTGACACAAAACAAGTTATCCAAGTTGATTTTATCAATGGAAATTTTTTTAAAAAAACAATATACAATGCCTTACTGAAATTCTACTTGCAATTTTAAAGTAGAAAAGCAATTTCTAAACATTTTCTAGAATTATTTTTGCCTCTCAGCAATCTACTGCAGTGTCAGAACTAATGCTCTTCACTATGTAAGCCAGCTTAGTTTTTGGTACCTGTGTGACTTCATCAATACAGCACAAGAGTCCGATCTCAGCTATATGGTATAAATACTTCAATTTTCTTTGAAACTTGCACAATTGATCCTAGTTACTGGAATACCTCATTTTGTGAAATATCAGACTACTAGATTATATTTTATATTATGCAACTGTCTCCCTTTGTACAACATGCAGTCTTGCTTTTGTTCAGTAGGACCGCTAAGGCCATGGTCCCATCCAACCACATACACACATGCAGGTAACTTCAAATGTGCTGCTCAAGTTTCAGCTGAAGCATCTCCCAAATGGCACTTATGATACAGATATATTAAAGGACATGAGACACTGTTGGCTTCACAGAGCAGGGGGTTAGATCGAACTTAAAATCTTTTATGCAGGTTTTCAAATCATTTGTAAGTCAAACTACAGCTGCCTAGTCTCAAGTTACTAGACAGCCTGAGATGCAAAAACCGTAACAAATACATCTCCTGTAATACTCAAGAGTATCTAATTTCCTAACCAAAACTAGTCTTTCACATCATTCCTTTTAGTACAAGCCACTGTACCCCAGGCACAGCTAAGACTACATTTACTGGGCCTCTTGATATGCTAAGGCCAAGAGAAGTGAGGAAAACTATCCAAAAAGCCTTCAGCAAAACAGTGAAAAGCAGCAACAGAAGAGGATCAGAGAGAACTAGTGGAAAGAGGGAAGACCAGAACCTGTCCTGAGTTAGCACCTGCTGTTCTAAATGGTTCTTTCAACCTGCATCACGACACTGAGGAGTCCACAGACGTTGCCATAAGCAAATCCATGTTAATGGCAATTTTCAAGTTAATTTTCCGTGCACAGTTACCACAAAACATGAAAACCTGGATTTGTCTTCCGAGTACAAAAGACAAGCAATCTTTGAAGTCAGGAAGCTCAAAACCTGGATCAAGACAAAGACACATCAGCCTGCAATACACATTTATGTATGACATCCAAGTGCCAAGTTGTGACATCCTTCACCTGCGCTGTAGGTCAGTATCACAATGAGCTCCCAGCTGCACGTACCAACCCAGCAGTGCCCGACAGAGCCCGCGGGCAGAGCCCACAGCATTTCAAGAATTTACTCGGTTTCCTTTCCAGTTAGCTCAGTCTACGGAACTCAGGTTCTCATTTGAAAATGTACTGGTCTGTCTGGTGACAGGGACAGGGCTGCCAAATGAAAACGGATATGGTAGAAGAGAGGATTACACCAGCTGTTCCAACTGAAAGGCTGAGGAGTCAAAATATTCCTCCTACACACGCAGTGCATGCCAGCAGTCATCCCTCTCCAGCCTACCATTGGTAAGATACCGGAGGTGTGGGGGACACACCACAGAACATCTTTAAAGAGACGATCATTGGACATCAACTCAAAATGCAACTTACTCTACAGAACGTATTTCAAGCTATGTTATACCTTACTATAGGCTATTCTCCTTTCTAGGGATTCTGAATTTTTCCTTATGTTGTTTTTGTCTTTGTACAATGATATTGAATAGTCCATAAGGATATACGTTACTAACATCAAGAACGTACAGCAAGTGAGCTGCACGAAAGAGCCCAGCAGGAGCAGGGCACACGATGCAGTGTAGGGCTAGATCACACGTACCTTTCTAAAGCTGACTTTTAACTGGAAAACCACAGCGTGGTTTGTATCGTCCACGGAACGTTAGCTCTCATGGAAATACAAAGGAAACACGCTGTAGCCAAGATGGAATGCAGGTAGTTTTGTCCATTTCATCCATGGTCACATCTGTGGGCTCAGAATATAACTGCAACGCACATCCATACCATGTACTCCCTCGGAATATCCTTGCTACACAGCAGCAGTTATCAGCAGGTTGAGCCCTTTTCCTCACATTATACAATTAAATACTGTTATTTTTTTCAGTATTTCTTACTGGAAGTCCTTAGAACACTTGGAATTCTCATTTTACACAGTGGGGGGGGGGAAGAAAAACAATTCTCCAAATTCCCAATCCCATTCTCCTCTCTCTAAAATGAATGTCACCTAGGGGATATATTGGAGTGGATTTAAATGAAGAACTCTCCAAAATGTTACCTCCTGCAATATCTTTTTTCATCAGGTTTGATGATTATTCTTACCTTACAGCTCTGCTTCAGAATAAAGGCCAAATTTAGCTAATAGCCTGCAACCTAATTTTCCCCCATACGTACACTGCAGCTTCCCAATTCCGGTGATGTGGAGTGGAGGGTGAAAGGCACACGATGAGCCCACCAACTTGGAGGACTTCACAAGCATCTCTGTTTGCAGAGGCCTGCTTTGATACCTGAGGAGATGACAAGTTTTTTTTCTTATTTAATAGAAACAGACCCACTCTGTGCTGCAGACAAGCTGCATCAACAGCCATCTCCTTCACACCTGGATTACCCTTTCACACTGACACGCGTCCCACAGCTCAGGTCTAAGTGGCTGGAAGTGGAACCTTGGTACAACCTGTTCTTTGGTCAGATAAGCATGTGCTTAGTTTCAGATCTAGCTGGAACACACAACAGGATGTAGCTTCTGCTGAAATCTTTTCATAGCTTTCTTTTCTTTAGAGGTAGAGTGCTTTGAAACAAGAATGCAAGTTTTTAAATCCTGAAGAAGCTGCTTCCAGCAGACACGGGCTGCTGGGCAAACAGGAAAGCAGACCACACAGTTACCCTGTACCCCATTCAGGTCTCCTGGAAGTAACTGTGTAAATATTTTCAAATCTTAACACCATACAATTCCTAAATAAAACCTACTGAACTTTAGTTTTAGCATGATGAAGGAACTTTCAGCTCTTTGCAATTTTTTTCTTGTACTGAAAAGTTGATACAGGCATGAAGTTTTAGTTCTAAACAGAACAGACTAACAGAGGTAGCTTTTACTTCAAAAAATATCCTGGAAAATTAATATTTTAACCATTTGTGAAACCATTGGTCAGAACAGAGGACACTACACACACCTGGAGTAACGCATGGGTGCAAGTCAAACATTAGATCTATCCCAGCTATCTTAAAAAAAAAAAAATAATATTTAGCACTTAGTTATCATTTCAAGTGAGGAAATACTAAACAGATCTAGGCTGCCATGGTGTTTGACATCAGTCTTTTCCCTACCTAAAGTAAGAGATGTGCTTTTCTTCCTTCCTAAATACACATTTAAAATAGTAAACACTGAGGTCTAGAAAAAGGTGATGCTATCTTGGGATAGTCTACGCACAGAAGTTAGGCAGAACAGGATTAAGCTAGAACATCCCAAAGATGTTGAATCATCAGCATGATCATTTTTTCTTTCCTATTTATGGCTTCTTGGCAAGTCCAAGAAAAGTAAGACAATGTGACAAGTTGATCAGCCTGATGTTTATCACTCCAGACAGTCACTGAATCTTTAATTTCCACTGGAACCTAAGGGCAAGCCAGTAGTAGAGAATGTAGAAGTGAGACTATCCCACATCACCTAATTGCATATATTAAGCTGCTTAAAACCAACTTAGCAATATATTCAGTCATTTATAACATTTCAAGAAAACCCTCAAAGCATTGTATTCTGAGTTACAAATTCGGCTCTTCTACATTTCATATACTGTACCTGCAGCAGATGTTTGTAGTAAGTGAAAGTTTACATCTCTATCTCCACTTCATTAACGGGAAAGCAATAAATGATTTCAAACCAATTAATAAATAACTATTCTTTGACAAGTTTGATGAGCTGACAAAGTTCAAAAGCCAGAAACATCCACATGCAGGAACTAAGTCAAAAACCAGAATTTGTTTTGGACTCTACAACAGCAATACTGGGAGCGTGGATTTTGAAGCAGTCTAGCACTAAAAAAGGTGCCCCAGGACAGACTCCTCCCATTGTAAATGTACATGTAGAGAAATGCCCAGGTCAAGATTGTGAGGGATTTCTTTTTCTGAAGAGCAATCAGTGTATTTTCCAGACGTTTGAAAGCCTCTGCTTTCTTCAGCTCATGATGACTATTAGTATTTATCCTGTGGTTCATCTGCATCACTAGCCTCGGTTTCACTGCTCTGAGAGAGATCTTGTTGGCTCTCTACTCTGTCCAGTTCCAGAAAACTAATAATGAGTTTGGCAACTGCTTCCACATCGCTGTGGAAAGGAAAAAACAATGTAAGTGTTAGTGGAATTGTGGTGTTGACAAGACAAGATATGGCATAGCGTATGACTGGCACCATCCCACTTGTGGAAATAATGGCTTGCCTTGATATGCCTTCACATCAGAACAAATCAATCCTTTTCCCACAGTCCCTGCTGCAAGATTCCTTATTATCAATGCTTAAAATAAATCCTCTGTTAACTGACAAATACAGTGAATGTTTGCAAAACAGAATTAATCTCCTCTGCCATTGCACAGCTAAGCTAGTGAAGGTAACTAGAGCAGACATGCAGTGCTAAAGGGATCTCATATATCTAAATATGATCAGTCTTCTGATGGGAGATGGCATTACTCAAATGTCTGCAACTGAAAATACTGAAGGGTTTAAAAGAGTTAAATCAGATAACACAAGGTCATATCAGCAATATCAGTATGAAAATGGAGCCAAGACAAGCCTCAACAGTTGGCAATTACTGACCCACATGAGTGGCATTTCCCACCTTACACATTCTAATTCAAAAAAAGTCCACACTGCACCTTCTACAGCCCAACACTGCACTCTGAGTCAGTGGGTGTGAAAATCCAGTGGCAAACCGTAGCACAACCAGGTAACCCTTCCCAAAATATCGCACAGTCTCCTCTTCCACGTTCACATCTCGGATCTCATTCAGTAGAGCCACTACTGCAAACAGATGTGGAAAACAAAGTGATCTATTAGCATTACAGTAAACTCTCAGCACTGCTACCAGCGACTTCTCTGACTGGAATTCTGTTGCTCTGATCTCACGAAGCTGGGGCAGTCCTGCAATAGCAAACAATTGCTGAGCTGTTCAGGCAAAACAAACAAGGAGAGACTGCAGCACATATTAGCTAGTATAGGCCCTAATGAAGAAGATAAACTCAGTTCCTGGGAGGCAGTGTATTACTTATGTTTCCCATTTTAACAACAGTTTTAGCTATTTTTCTGTACAGAGTAGGTAAACAGGTGTTAAGTTTATTGAGGTTGAAAAAATACTGAAAGATTTAACTGTTCAGAGCATCTGCTGATCTCTGCATCCCCATGTTAACGGTAGGGATACAGAAATAGATATTACCAAATAACCTTTCGAGAGATGCGCTCAGCTCCCCAACATATAAACATACCCTAAAGAAAACTTCAGAAACATTAAACATCCTTCACTCCACATCTCTTATCTTTGCAGATAACATGCATTTTCTGAACCTACTGAATGTGCTGTTTCAAATGCATGTTATATATCTGCAGGATATAACATGCCTGCTTGCATATGATATCTAAAGATTTGCCTGCTACCAAAACCAGATTAGATTACAGAAGTCTCAACTCCTGGAGCCAAAATTTAAGTTTTTCCACCAGTCCCACCTGCAAAGCAGGCTAGCCAAGGGAAACGTACACCTGCACATTAACATCCCAAAGGAAAGGCTAAAACTATTACAGAAAGCCATGTGTAAGCCTAGTTACCTTGGATTAAAATAGCTAACAAAATGCATTCAGCACCCGAACCTGAAAAAGTATTTGGGTCCTGAGAGGCAGATTACTACATCTGCTGCTTGGGAACACAGCACATCTGAAAACAGATGTGACTAATTTGAGTACAGAACTCCAAAGCAGCTTATTAAATGAGCAGACAGAAGAAATGCACACATGCCTCTCATTTGCTACCACAGATACTCACCTTGCTCATTGCCTCCTTTTGAGAAGGTCAGTATTTTTTTGTAAAGATTGAATGTTTTTAGGCAGACTGTTCCCTTGCTCTTATCAAATACGGCTTCCTGTAAAATTGAAAAATAAAAACGAAGATTTTTCTTAAAAACACCACCAGTAGCTATGCGTCAAAGTAAAATAAAAATAGTTATATGGGAAAATAATCTTGGTAACACAGAAAAATATACACCTATTTTAGAGACATTCCTCTACTATTAGACTGTGAAAATCACAATCTTGCTCTTGGCTTTAACAGAGACTTTACCACTCCTGTGTTACTTCCAGAAAGAAGTTAAAGCTGGTTTCATTGCCCCTTTTGCCACATTCCTTGTGTAATAAAAGCTTTGCCTGGAGTCAAATTTGATCACTGACTTGGAGCTCCTGTAACTTTCACTTTTGGTGTATGCATTTGGCCTACAGTATAAGCATACAATGAACATCAGTTCTAGTTACACTTTTCACTCACACAGTCACTAACTCCCACCAAAATTCCAGTGCTGTGCTATATGGGCCAGGCTTACAATAGATTTAAACCATCCCTGACAGTCAATGAAAAGAGGATGTCTCGTACGTATGGGCTGTTTATTCTAATAACAACTAAGATCAGTAATGTGACAAACCTATATAACAGGTTATTGCTCTCAGTCCAGCTCCTCACCAAAAAAAAAAAAAAAAGAAAATCAACATCCACAGATTATAAACCAACTTCAGAAACACCACTCTTTTCCCAGTGGAAAACGGCTGAGTAGCCTGGAAGGTTAGAGCTACCCTGTTTAATGGTCCTTCTGTCATTAGCTGGAACAGTCAGTACAACATCATGTTGTAGCAGCTGAATGTCTTTCTCTCTTTTTTATATAAGAGGAAGAAAAGGCCACAAAACAGTTTGGGGCAAGTCTCCCCTTAAAAAACACTCCAATGTTTAGCTTCACGTTTTCATGCTTGCGTAGTGACAGAATTAATGCCCTAATTCTAGTCCTAGCATGGCAACCCCAAAGGGTTTCCCCAAAAGCAAAAGCATAATTTGTCTGCTTGGACTGAGCAAGTGCATGGAGCTGCTGAAATCAGCATCTGCCAACTGTTTCTAAACCAATACGGCCTCGTTTCCCAAGTTCAGCATCTTACCTCCCACTGCTCCAGATTCTGTGCTGCCACAAAGAAACACCCAGCCATATAGAAGAGCTTCCATGCCAAGCTGTCTGAACAATGCAAAAAATACAAATTTAGGGATTTTTTTCCCCCCCTTCTTTGGTATTCAAACAGTTAGTTTTAAAAGCAACGTGCTCCCTTTAAAGGCAACAAAAGGAAAAAAGGCTTCTCTGTTGTACTGCAAGCTATTTTACAGCTCTCTCTCAGGATAAAAATATAGAAACTCTTCACGTATTTTTCAAAGATTCCATCTACGCTGGGCTCCAAACCACGCAGAATTAGAAGCACACGTATTATTGGCAAGGTTGTACCATCACTACACATCTTCCTCTTCTCTAAAAGCAAAGGCACCCACAAAACTCAACCTGCTGTCAACCACCAAATATTTGTGCTGCAGAGGACAAGGGCAAGGGACAATGGAAATTCACTGAAGCAAACATTGTTTCTTCATAAAAGGAAGCCATCAGCTCTCTTGACAAACATACATTTGCATTTGATGTCCTGGAAATGTTTACATATAGCAGACTCAGCAATTTGCTTACTCAGGCTTTTACTGAAAGCAGAGTAGAACTGTGCTCAGTATTGTTTCAGAAAACTTTGCTGCAATGTCTCAAGAAAAAAAGGCTGATATAGTTGGTGTCCCAAGCAGCTTTTGCTCTAAAGATAAAAATATATTGATTATATTGGTAGCATATTCTTACACATTACTAAGTTTTAAAATTTGACGTTAACACGATGCAGCAAGAGAATCACAGGACAGCCTGCAGGATCAGTTCCGTAGACGGAAGGACACCTGGCATTTGGTGCCATCCACTCTATTGCAGGGAGGGGACAGGAAGCAGCAGTAGCTGTCTGTTCTCTAAAGGTGTTTTTATGAGTAATCTCTGCCAGTGACGATTTAACAGTTTCCAGAGAAACAGAGCAATTCCATCAAAAGCGAGGTAATCTTTTCATTATGGTGGCAAACAATCATTACATGTCTTCCCAGGAGAGCTGTGAGGACCAACTAATCACATTTATAAAACACAAAGTACAAAATGCCACAGAGTAGTTAATATCATTATTAAAAATACTCTTGCAAATGGAAAGGGAGGCTGAGTAAGAAATGGAGGATTAAAGCATGGTAAGTCATACACAGGCAACAGTTATTATTGGATTTTAATATTCATGCCACAAAGTGTGATAGGTGCCTATACCACCTTTGTGAAGCCAGACAGAAGCTGCAGAGAGGAGTCACCATGAAAAACAGATCAACAGAAAATAAACAATTCTTAAAAAAATAATAGGCCATTACCTGCACTATAATAAGCAGCAGCCAAACCTATGGAGGCTATTCCTAGGATAAGAGGGGAGAGAATTAGGACAAGCAAGCAGCTCAAACCATCTAAAATGCCCTGATTAAAAACATATGAATATTCACAAGTTCATCACTTCTCAAAAAAGAGACAAACATGGAAATAAAAGGTCACGACAATCAGGAACAGAACTTCAGAGGGACTCTCAATCTAACCATTACACCATACTTCCTCTCGAGCGCAGGGCAAGTTTCAGCGTGCTAACATAAACACTATAACGGTTACTTTTCCCCTCCAAGTGCTCTGTGGAGCCAAAAGAAAACTTCTGCAATAGAGTTGTGTCAGAAGCTGCCAGCTCCTTTCTCCCACTGAGGAGGACGCAGTGGAAAAGTGCCTCTTGCCCCAGAGCACAACTGCAAAGACCTTGTCTCAGTGAGAGCCTGACAAGACGACGTCACTGAAAGCAGTGACGTTGTGGTGTTACTGCAATGGGATCCACTCGGCTGGGAAGCAGGATATGCCACGTTTTCCCCATCAGCTCTCTCAGCATGGTCTTAAGTAGAGCCATTCCATTTTTTCCTACATATTCCGTAGTATTTAAAAACAGACGCCTTTGAGAACATCCTGTATGACTTCCTATTTCATACACTCTGTGCCGTTAAGAGTTCACTGTCAACCACACGCAAGATCTAACCCCAGCATTGCTCCACTGCAGATTTTTCCGTTTCTGAAAGCCTGGATGTTTTTCAATGTATGCAAAGCATGCATCCCCTTCAGAGGCTTCACATTTATATTGCTATGTGGCATATAATAAACTTGCTTTTCTTGGTCTTTCAGGACTCCCTTAAAATTCTGTCCACGAGCCTCTTGAGGTTCTGCAGACGACAGACTGAAAGATTACCAGTCTCACAGTGACACTACCACACTGAGGAGGAGACTTCAGACTCATTTAGTGGCTATGCTAAAGGAGAAGATCAAAGCATGACAATTCTTCTTCTTCTTGAAATAAAAATGCCTGACAGACAGGCATCTCTTGTTAGAGGCTCTTTTAGGAATTTATTCTGTGACCCCCTTCCCTTAAAGCAAGCTCTGAAATAAACTGAGGAATATTATGGTCTTACCAACAAAGAGAGACCAAGATCGGATGCCAGGTGACCTCTTCAGATGAATATAGGAACTTGTGCGGTGTTCAATCAACATGTACATCTTCAGAAGAAACTCCCAACAGCCCAGTCTGATTCATGAAACCTCACTGGACAGAAAAAAAAAAAAAAGTAAGAATTTGAAAACACTGTGGACTACACCACGCTGCCTTCCTAGCACTTGTCAGGACTTACCAAGTCTTAATCTAGACTATAAAAGATGTTCAGAGTAAGAACATAGTCTTTTTCTCACAGGAAGAGCAATATGCACACTTTAAAAAACTGCAAGGAAAAACTGTCATGTGGAGAGTTGCATAACAACAACAGGAATCTGAACTCTTCGAAAAACTTCTCATTTTAGGGGTAAAAGTCTACTTTCAATCACAACCAGATTCCAGAATAAAACATGAAAAACAAGAACCTGGAGCAACGTTGTTGCTAATTCACACAGCACTTCTGCTAACAATTAGAACAGCCAGAGCAATGGAAAGTTCTTTGACAGCGTTTCTCCGGCTGACTGCCAAGGCTGCCCGGATGGACCAGCCCAGCAGCTGAAGCAGGACAACACAGCCCTCTGCAACACTGACATCAGGGGTCTCGTCCCTGATGGCAGACCAGCAAGGGTTACAGCCTCAGCCTAGCAGTGCCACTGTCACGTAACGCCTTTACAGCATCCCCATCTCTCAAGCCAACTCAAGAATAAAACCAGAAGTTTCCAACAAGTATGTTTGTCTCTCCCCAACAAGAGCATGCCTCCAACCCAGGTAACAGTACAGACCAAAGAGGCGGGTACTAATTAAAACCAGTAAGAGCTGGGCAATCCCATCCAGCATTTTCAGCAAGTTTTTACTACTTACAGCATAAAATTGATTGAATTCTGGCATGGTTATGAGCTCCAGTGCGAAAAAACAATCCCACCCTAGTACTCTCAGCGCAAGGACAAAGACTGATTTGTAAGAGATGCAACAGACATGGCCACTGATCTTTCGGAATTGTCACCAGAGAAAGGACAGGCTGCTTACTGCTTCTCTTCCACAAACTGGCAGAGATGCACGTTGTTATTATGAAGACCACAATCTAGTAAATGGGAAATGAAAGCATGTGCTAAGCACTGTGTCATAATGTTAGCAAGGTACAGTGGGCCTTAATCAAAGATATCTTCAGTTTTAAGTAGACTTTCCCAAAAGGGATTTCTAAAAAGGACATCTACTTTTCCAATTGGAATGATGAAGCTCGTTATCTGGGGACTGCAGGAGCATTAAACAGCTCGTTTACAATAAACACCAACTTCTTCTGTTGACTTGGTAGTTAAATCATTAAATAGCCAACTCCTCTACCCACAGAACCAGTTTGTAGGAGGCTGGCATCAAGCTGTTGTTAGCTGCCCACCATAACAGGCTTCTAGAAGAATGCCAACATTCAACACGTTTTTGAATAACCACAAACAACACCTAGAGAGCAGGCCCGAGCACATCCAGGTTCTTACAGAAGAAAAGCGTGCAATTTCTTGTTCTTTAGTCATCTTGCCGTTCATAGATACTACATGACACTCCTGCAATTCAGCGTGGACTGGCTAGTTTAGAGACAAAGCTCCAGGGGATTTTTTTTTTTTTTCCATTTAATAAAGCAGATTGAGCCAAGTCTTTTCAGTTAAACAAAAAGCACGTATGACTTTGATTTTAATCTCTGAGCAACGCATCAGAGAGAATGTGAAACTGAAAGAGACAAAACCACTTATGCATAAGACACACTTCATCTCCTCCGGATGTCAAGCATCAAATTTTAATTTTCAAATGACTCCTGTGAGTTGCTTTCAATATATCGAAAAATATTTCTGCACGTACAAAGCCTCCTGCCTGCAACCTAAAAAACGTCAACGAGGTATCAAATATATAAAGATCACCGCAGAAACCTGGCTCTATGCCACAAACAACACATCTTACTTAAAACATCACTCACAAACGTAACAATTAAATCCGTTAATCCAGACTTTGACATCCTCCCTCCATATTCCTTCGGTGAAGTCCAATCACGCAAACGCTGGCATGAGCGTGATGTTGGACAAAGTCAACGGCATCGTCTCTCACCGGGGCAGCTGCGCACGAGAGAGGTGCCCCAGCGAGTAAAAAGCACCAAAGCAGCTTTTTAAAGTTACATTTAATAAAGCAAGTCACAAATGTGCCTTTAAGCAACTACGAAAGTTTTACGATGACAATTTTACGATTACAGAGAGAGGTGTGTTGGTTTTTTTTTTTCTGGCTGCCAGTTTTGCTTGAATTTGTTGTGTTTGACATTAAAGCGATCTTCAGCACCCAAGCCAACGCTTGCATGCTTCCTCCGAGCTCTCGAGCGAGAGCGCGCCAGCAAAGCAACCCGCACACCGGCC